GCCATTCTGACTGGTGTGAGGTGGTATCTCATTGAGGTTTTGATTTGGATTTCCCTGATGCCGAGCGATGTTGAGCACTTTTTCATGTGTCTGTAGGGTAGGTGGTACAGCTTCTTAAAGTTAACTTTGGAAACACCACTCAAAAACTAATGATGTAATGTATGGTGATTAACATAACATAATAATAATAATAAAAAAATCCTAATAATAAGCAACAATACAGTTTGGATGTGACCCAAAATTATTAGGATAATATGAATATCTGCCACTAACTTAAGATAATTAAAAAAAAACTTTGTCTAAGAGAGAAAATGTTCTTTATTTGGTTTTACAGACATTAAAAAATGGCCCAGGGGTTATGCAGATCCTGGGTTTGGTTCTTGCTTTTGGCAACTACATGAATGGAGGGAATAAGACTCGAGGACAGGCCGATGGCTTCGGATTAGACATTCTTCCAAAGCTGAAAGATGTCAAAAGCAGTGTAAGTATTTTGTATGAATGAATGTAGGCAAATTGAAGATTAGATGCTTTATTTAGTAATAAGTTTGACTGTAAGCCTGTTGTAATAAATGTTTCTTTATGTTCCAAGGTCTTGATGTTCTGAACTAGATAAAAGTATATGGCCATCATATGTTTATGATTTTGTGAATAATGTTTCCTAAAGTGAGTAATTGTGAATCCTATGTCTAATGCATAATCGAGTAGAGGATTTTTTTTATGTTTCTTTTATTATTATTATTATGCTATGGTAATCACCATACATTACATCATTAGTTTTTGATGTAGTGTTCCATGATTCACTGTTTGCATATTAACACCCAGTGCTCCATGCAGAACAAGTAGAGGATTTTTAAAATAAAAATAATTATTTTTCACTCTGTTATTATCATGTCTGCTAATATGTATCCTTTTGGAGTCTGAGGATTAATTAATTTTCATAAATTAGATGGTATTCCTCTTCTGTGTTAAGTAATGGAGGCCAGCAGGTTTGTGTTTTAAAAACAAAACAAAGATGGGTGAAAGTAGATTGAAAATAAAATGTAAAAGATGATCCTGCTTTTCTACATATCATCCTCCCCTTTATACTGGTATGTGTGGGGATGTCTAAGCCTTTTTGCAGGCCTAATTAATTTTTGATCCTACTTCTATACTTGTATTTGTTTAAAATTAACATCTAAGAGATAATGAGAGTGTCAGTAAAAATATAATATTAGGGAAACAACTATGTTGATTAGAGTTAATGTGTGAGATTGTAAACTTAGAAAATAATAGAATTCTGTTTCTCTGATAAAAGAATCTCCACAAAAAAAAGAGAAGATAGTAGGAAGGGAAAAATGAAGGGGAGGAAATCAGAGGGGGAGATGAACCATGAGAGACTATGGGCTCTGAGAAGCAAACCGAGGGTTCTAGAGGGGAGGGGTGTGAGGGGATGTGTTAGCCTGGTGATGGGTATTAAAGAGGGCACGTATTGAATGGAGCACTGGGTGTTATTCACAAACAATGAAGCATGGAACACTACATCAAAAACTAATGATGTAATGTATGGTGATTAACATAACATAATAATAATAATAAAAAAAGAATCTCCACACGGAATTATATGATAAAGAAAATTATGGTCATGTTTTTAAAATTATAAATATAAGTAAACGACTGGCTCATAGAAACGGAAATACTAGAATTGTTCTTCCTAGATAATGAATATAGTTGACCCTTGAATGGTGCAGGGCACTGACCTCCTGCTCCGTTGAAGATCTGCGTATAACTTTTGACTCTCCTAAAGCTTAACTACTAATAGCCTACTGTTGATGAGAAGTCTCACCGATAACATTAGCCGATTAACACCTATTTCCTATGTTATATGTAACATATATGGTATTCTTACGATAAGGTAAGTTAGAGAAAAGAAAATGTTATTAAGAAAATCATTAGGAAGAGAAAATACATTTCCAGTACTGTACTATATTTGTTGAAAAAAAATCTAAGTGTAAGTGGACCCATGCAATTCAAACTCATGTTGTTCAAGGGTCAGCTGTAATTCCCACCTAAGAAAGAGATACTTTTTATTGTTTTTTCTGTTGGCCAACAACTCATTTGCTCATTCATTCATACATCCACTCGTACATCCATTTACCATTCTTTCACTGAGTTCTATGAAATCCCACACACTGCTTTTCCAAAATTGAATAAAGCCATCATCCTGTCTTGGAACACCAGCAGCACATACAATTTTGGTGATTTTTATGGTTATATTTGTTCAGATGCTATTATATTGGTATGGCACAAGTTTTCACAGGAACCTCCAGTATGTCAACCAGATAAATCACATTTGTTCAAAAGCAAAACTCTCTTCTAAGCACTTGAATAGTTCTTAACAACTGATTGTTGGATTGAAACAAGTAACATTTGCAAATAACACTGGAATATAAATAGCATCAACATAATATTTAGCTTATAAAAATGGATCTGAAATAGATTCTAATAATTATAATTATATATGAATAAAGGATTATTTGTTTTTTATTGGTTGATATATCTTATTCAATCTCCCAATAAGTTAAATTTTATTAATTTAAATAACTACAAGGAATAATCTGGATAAAAATTGCATAATAAAATCAAGAAACAAAATTTTATTTTATAATTTCACTTGCATTCTCACAAGAGTTATGTGAAGTCTTCTTTATTTGGTTCTTTCTGTATAAAACAAATATAACTGTGTCTACTTCTTAGTACTATTTGTAGACCTGTATGGACAGAGCTGTTATTTAGATCACTCAGAATTTTCACTCAGCATGCCTATCAGCAGGCATTTAATAAATGTTTTGTTAATTGATTCAAGTATGGTTAACCATTTCATTGATTTATAAGTTAGGAAGGAGAAAGGAAAGTTGCTTTAATTATTTACAAGCGAATGCTCTTTCTAATAAATATATTACTTTTATTATTGCAGTGTATAACTGCATAACATATTATTATGTTATTATTACTATAAATTACTATGAGGGAAGTCTCTAAAAGGTGTATTATCATATCATGTCAAATTAAATTATAAAGGGATATTGCTTTGTATAAATAGAGGGAAAATAATGGTTAGATTGAACATTTCAGGGAATGTAGTTTGTGTTGTATGGTTTTTTAAAAATATATATATTTGTCCTCCCACATTCAAATTATCTAGTACTAATTTCAAGTGATGCAAAAAAAGAGAAATCATTAAAAATGCCCCTAAGTGTGCCAGAAAGGGGGTGAAAAGCTATTCTTTGAAAACCATTAGAATAGGAACAATCCTACATTTTTTTTTCTTATAGAAATACATACATTGCATTATTTATAGCTGTGAGGACATTAATTTCTCAATCTCAGTTGCTGACATAGCAATTTATAATATGTATTTGCGTTTTTAAAGCCCCTGCTTACTTAAAATAATACTTAACTTTATTTTCCTGATCCCTATACTAACAAATTTCAATCAGTCTTACTGTTGGAATGATACCTGCTGGCCCAGAAATGGTATAGAAATAAATGCTGGCAAGATTGAGTCATTTCAGCTAAAGTAGTAGTTATACCTTTTAATGATAAAACATGACAATTAATGAACTAATTTTCTGATCGAGGAGGGCAAAAGCAGCAAAGTATTCACAGTTGAGACTCCATCCTAGAACAGTTGTGCTACTTGGAGCTTAGATTAGAACATTGGGAAAAACAGGATCTTCTGTGCCATTAAACTCCTTTGATGCAGTGGCCGAAGTACTTTGAAATGTAGGATCTCACATTTTATTCTAAATGTTCTCATTTATATATTGATTTACTGGAATTTATTTTACTTGACACTGCATATTTAATATTTAAAAAAATATATTTTTACTTTGGTCTTTCTGCCTAGGACAATAGCAGAAGCCTTTTGTCATATATTGTTTCCTATTATCTTCGAAATTTTGATGAGGTAAGACAGTTTTTACATATAGTTTGATTTTGTTATTTGTTGTTTTGCCATTGCCATTGTTGTTGTATCTTTATTTATATTAATGCTGGTTTGTTTTAAAATTATGTGTTTCTTGCTAATTAGGATGCTGGAAAAGAACAGTGTGTTTTTCCACTGCCAGAACCCCAGGACCTTTTTCAGGCCTCACAGATGAAGTTTGAAGATTTTCAAAAAGATCTCAGAAAACTAAAGAAAGACCTGAAAGGTAACTTATAATCTTAAAGGATCATGTTTGTATTACCGAATGCTTTTTTAAGGAGAAAAACACAGACTTTTCAATGTTTTTTTAAGAAAGTAAATCTTAATGGCTTTGTAAAACTACATTTTTTTTAGTGTGGCAAAAGAAAAATTTTACCAATAATCTTATTATTTTGTTGTTTAAAAAGTTATGTATATTAGACATTTAGCTATTGAGTAGTATATTGGTTATTTGAATAGCAATCCCTTTCACCAGGAGCAAATTTGATCATCTTGTTTTCACTTGATAGCCAAGGACACTTGTATATTTTTCATGTTATTGTTAAAAGAGAAATAGTTCCTTCCTATCCCCCCTTGGTATACTTGCACAAGATGTTGTGGCTTATGAACTTTCCTGGCAACAAAAATCTTCTTTCACATAGTTGGTCAAAAAACACATGCATGTATAACATTTTATTGTTAGCTGAGAAGCCTTGTATCAAATCATTTTGAAATGAGTCTGAAATTCTTCAGATTTCTAAATTAAAAGTAACATTTAAAGGGCACTTGGGTGGCTCAGTCAGTTAAGTGTCTCTTGATTTCATCTCAGCTCATGATCCCAGGGTTGTGAGATCGAACCTAGGGTCAGGCTCTGCACTCAGCAGGGAGCCTGCTTAAGACTCTCTCTCTCCCTCTCCCCTTCCTCTGCCTCTCTCCCTTTCTCGCTTTTTAAAAAAAAAAAATTTAAAATAAAAGCCATCCAAATTCTAATAGAAGGAGTAAAACTATTAGTATTTGCGGAGGATAACATTTTGTATATAGAAAACCCTAAAGACTCCACCAAAAACTATTAGAACTAGTAAATTAAGTTTCAGGTACAAAATCAATATACAAAAATCTATTGCATTTTTATGCACCAACAACAGACTATCCAAAGGAGAAATTAAGGAAGCAAACTCATTTTTACAATTGCATCAAAAAGAATAAAATACCTAGGAATAAATTTAACCAAGGAAGTGCAAGATGTATACACTAAAACCTATAAGACATATTGGTGAAAGAAATTGAAGAATATACAAATAAATGGAGAGCTATTCCATGTTCATTGTTTGGAAGATTTAATATTGTTAAAAATGTCTTTTTTACCCAAAGCAATCTATACATTCAGTGCAATTCCTATGAAAATTCCAATGTCATCTTTCACAGAATTAGAACAAATGATCCTAAAATTTATATAGGAACCACAAAAGATCCCAAATAGCCAAAATAATTTTGAGAAAGAAGAATAAAGCTGGAGGCATCACACTCTCTGATTTCAAGCTATATTACAAAGCAATAGTAATCAGAACAGTATAGCATTGGCATAAAAACAGACGCATGGATCAATTGAACAGAATAGAAAGCCCAGAAATAAGCCCATACATATACGGTCAATTTATGACAAAAGAGGCAAGAATATACAATGGGGAAAGGACAGTCTCTTTCAATAAATGAGGTTTGGGAAAACTGGACATCCAAATGCAATAAAACCAAAACTGAATAGTATCTTACCCCATACCCAAAAATTAACTCAAATTAGGTTAAGGACCTGACTGTAAGACCAGAAACCATAAAACTCCTAGAAGAAAACAGGCAGTAAGCTCCTTGATATCAGTCTTGGTGATATTTTTTTTGGATCTGACTCCAAAGGCAGTGGCAACAGAAGCAAAAGAAACAAATGGGACTACATCAAACTAAAAAGCTTCTGCCCAGTAAAGGAAACTGTCAATAATAGGACAAGGTCCTTACTGAATGGGAGAAGATATTTGCAAGGGATAAATCCAATAAGGGGTTAATATTGAAAATATATAAAGCACTCATACAACTTAATAACAAAAACACAAACAACCCAATTGAAAAATGGGCAGAGGATCTGAATAGACATTTTCCCGAAGAAGATGTACAGATGGCCACAAGGCACATGAAAAGATACTCAACATCACTAACCATCAGGGAAATGCCAATTAAAACTACAATGAGATATCACTTCACACCTGTTGGAATGGTTAGTTTCAAAAGAACAAGAAGCAACAAGTGTTGGCGAGGATGTGGAGAAAAAGGAATCCACTTACACTGTTGGTGGTGGTGTAAATTGATGCAGCTACTATGGAAAACAGAATGGAGTTTCCTCAAAAAGTTAAAAATATAACCGTCATTGAGTTCAGCCGTTCTACTTCTGGGTATTTATCTGAAGAGAATGAAAACACTAATTTGAAAAGCTATCTGCACCCCTCTGTTCATTGCAGCATTATTTATAATAGCTAAGACATGGAAGTAGCAGAAGTGTCCATCAATAGATGAATGGATAAAGATGTGGTATGCATGTGTATATATATATATGTACACACACACACATACACACACACACACAGGAATATGACTCAGCCATAAAGAAGGATGAAATCTTATTTGCAACAACATGGATGGACTTTGAGTGTATTTTGTTCAGTGAAATAAGCCTGACAGAAAAAGAAAACCTAAAAAAAAAAAAAATCAGAAAACAAAACAAAGCTCATAGATACAAAGAACAAATTGGTGGGCAAAATGGGTGAAGGGGATCAAGAGGTACAAACTTCCAATTATGAAATAAATGTGTCATGAGGATATAATGTAATGTATAGCATGGTGACTTTAGTCAGTAATATTACAAATTTGAAAGATGCTAAGAAAGGAAGTCTTAAGAGTTCCTATCACAGTTGGAGTGCCTGGGTGATCTCATGGTTATGAGATCGAGCCCTGTGCCAAGCTCTGCACTCAGCACAAAGTCTGCTTAGGACTCTCTCTCCCTCTCCCTCTGCCCTTCCCCACCACACTCTCTCTCTCAAAAATAAATAAATAGATCATAAAAAAAAAAAGTTCCCATCACAAGGAAAGAAAATTGTGTGGTGACAGATGTTAACTAGACTTATTGTGGTGATCATTTCACAATGTATACAAATGTTGAATCATTATATTTTACACCTAAAACTAAAATAATCTTATATGTCAATTACACTTCAATGATAATTTTTAAGATAAAGAGATTTTAAGTGAAAAGTCACATTTACACAGAAAATTTACAATTTTTTTTCATTTTGAATGTAAAATCTCTTTATTCCCTTTATGATCATGAGGGTTCTTGTTGCAGAGCTGAGAACACCTCAGCTGTCTCTTTCAATCTCTTGCTAAGTCTGTTAAGCACAGATAGGGAATAAATAAATTTATGTGAGATTTTCATTTGATGTTGTATTACTAGATGAGAAGAGGGTTGGTTACCTCTTTCTATAAATCAAATATGATATCACTTTTTAAGAGATTGTATCCCAGTTTTGAAATATTTATCCAAAGATTTTGACCTGTAATCAAATTTATGGAGCTGTTATAGTCTCATCACAGATGCTTTTATATGGATTTAAATCAACAGAGCAACATTATATAGTTTGATTTTCTATCTATTTTCTATAGTTTGATTTTCTAAATTCTCCACATTTATTTATAGTCCTGGTGCATGTCAGGCATTTGTGAGGTGCTGTGGAAACCAGATACAATCATCACTGCCAAGGAGGGGTGAAATTCTGTCACTTAAATGTTCTCCCTTAGAGCCTCAAGTAAGGGTGCCCATTGATTGAGCCCAAGAATGACTGCCTTGTTGCAAAAAAAAAAAAAAAATACATAAAACTATGTTACGTTTATATAATACTATGATACTATGTATTTAAGTATGATTTCTTAAAATAATAGGAAACTTAACCATTCATGTGTAGTATGTATTATACTTCAAAATTTGCCAGGTATCTTGGTTTGCTTATGAAATTCTGCATTTTTTCTCTGTCTCTGTCTCTTTGATGTGGTGCTGGGGGCATTTCTGGAATATCTGGAAAATACTTCGCACTTCAACAATTTGGTCTTGCAGAGGATTTTGTAGTTTGTAGGTAATTTAATAAATGAGTGCAATGGTAATCTTATCACCAGGGGATTTCTGTTTGCTTTGGTTGGTGCATCACTTGGAATGTTACTTCATTTATTTTTCATATCTACATAGTTTCTTATTACAGTTATTAAATATACATGTAGTCATGAAAATGCCAAGTTCTCACAAGTCTTAGAGCTGAAACAAGGGAAGGAGCACACACCAGATCGTGGTTTTGAAAAGGACAATTGACCAGTGCCCTGGGTAATGTTTCCTCATGCACATCTATCTTCTTAAGCAATGTGGTTAACTACACACATTAAACGTTGAGGGGGCATCTTGGCAATTTTTAGTACCTCAGAGGGGTGAGAAGGTGATGATTTTAAGCCTCACAATTTATACTTCCCATTGGGATAAGACAAATTTCTCTAAAAGCCTCTTCCCTCAACTAGTACCAATGGCATTTGCTCGCCCAGGATTTTCTCATTTGTCTATGGATTGTTACAATTTGCTGCTCTAGAAATGGAAAGTTTCATGACCAAATGAACATAAGAACAGCTGGGATAAGATAAATTTAAAGGGAATTCACAGTGTTCTCTGAAATGTGTTAGTATTTCCCTAATTTATTTGATCACAGAGTACTTTTTCACAGAGTATCTGATAGTTTCTCTAGTCAGTGGAACATAGTTTAAGAAATGCAAGCCTGGTACCATGTTAGAAACAGAAGCATGGCATTTGCCTCTAAGGAGCTTACAAAGAAAGTAGGGAAATGAAACTATAGTTTATGAACTAATATAATTATATATTTCTGTTCTTATAAAACAAGACTAGCTCGAAGAGCAATTTACAAGGCTGTCAAACTCTGAGGTATCCTTTAAACACTGACAAAAAAATCATAATTTAATCATATGTGTTACGTTTTGCTTTTCCAAAATTTGAGTTTTTCCATTGAAAACAAGATATTTTGTAACACAAGGAAGGAAATCTTATGTGCTGAAATTTAAATTCATTTTCTGGGAAAGTTTTAGCATGACTGTAGCATTTCATATCAACAAGGCCTAAAGTAAAATTGTCTTGTGTCCCTTTTTGGAATGAGATAG